TTTTCCTAGAATAATGCAAATCACATATACAGAGGTGTCTAAGTACACTTGTATGGGAAGATGTGTGTGTTTTCTTGCCAACATAATCCCTGCACAGTGGCTGTTTTTTCTCTCAGGATCTGATGTCCGCACTCTCTCAGTAGTCACTTTTGCCAGTTAAAAGCTTCCTTTTTTTCTCTTTAGCTTCTGACTGGCTCATGGTAAAGCATTTTGTGATGGTCTGTATGAAGGACTAAGTAAAAACAAATTATGTTGTGTACAGGATGTTAAGAAGCTTCACAAGCAGATTCAGAGATGTTATGCAGAAAACCGCAAGGCATTTCATCCTGTGCAGGTATGTTTAAACAAACTGACTACTGCCATTTACCAAACATATGAGAAGTGGTGAGAACTGTAGTAGAAAAAAATTATTTGAGCTGCCTCTTTTTAATAAGAAAATTACTTCTATTTTAACAGATTAAATTCCAACCCATGTAGATAAAATTCCCCATATATATGAATAAGTATGTGTGTGCAGGTGAAGATACTGGAGTGTGCCTCTAAGGTCTTGTTGATACTCAGTTTTATCTGTGTCAGATTAAAAAAAAAAAAGTGAGTTCAAATGCATACTTGTCTTTTAAATGTATCACTAACTGTATGAATATGGTCCTAGTATCAATTCCATCTAAAAAATATTAAAAGATTTAGCTAATAGTTAAGGGTAGAAAAAGTCTTATATAGTTAAGGTAGACAGAGAGGACATAGATTGTGGCATATTAACATTTCTGTATTTTGTACCTCTTTTTTGTTCTGTTTGAAGTTTTACTTGACCAGCCATGGGGGACAGCTGAAGAGCAACATGAATGAAAATGACAAAGGATGGGTGAACTGGAAGGTGAATAATTGACTATTTCTGTAAAAAAGGAAAACAAAACCTTGATTGTAGTTGCTAACTAGATTGTTAGTTGTGAAGAGCGTTTGCTTTTTCCATGTGGGTTTTTCTAACTCATAAGAGCAATGGCATATTGGAAATAGTGTAGCTCTTTCTGCTTTTTAATTGATTTAATTTGCATAAGCCAAAGACTACTTATCTTGACTCCGTATTTGATTTTTGCTTGGAAAACTACACACACATCTGTTTTCACCTGCTTTTATTGAACAAATTTCATTCCCTGATAGACAAAGCAAGGCTGCTTGATTTAGGCAATTCTGACAGTCATCTGTCTTGACAGTGCTCTCTTTTCTTGGCCAAAATAATACTTTGAATTTCAGGATGCTTTCATCACATTGCCTCTCAGTATTGAAGTGTTCTTTAGAGAGGAAGCTTGTCTAATGGTCAAACTCACGTTGGTTTTCCTTGTAATTCCCTGTTAAACCACTGTTTCAACAACATCAAAGGAAGAGCACTTTGAGTAAATAAAACCAGACCTATTTTCAGCATTTCTTGTGCAATAGCTGCTTTGCAGAAGCATAGCATAAACCTCTCTTAGCGAACAGTTAATGTGAACTAAGGATTTACTTCTGATTTCACTTTTTTTGGAAAGGTGAACTGGAAAATTACTTAGATCCTTAGGAGAAATATGCTCACATTTGAAGGGAATCACAAGAATTTTAAGGATTTGTAAGGTTCTTTGGAGGTTTCAGAAAATTTCCTGTTGATTTTTACAAGTCAGTGCCATAGGGACTGGATTGTTTTTGCAGAAACCAATGTGCAGTGTCATACACCCTTAAACATGAATGAGGGACGTGGAATGACCACAATTCTATTGGATTTAGTTTTGCTGGTCCCATTTAGGTCTGTAAAGCTTGACAAGCAGCTTATCTGTTGAATGTAACTTCTTTTAACTACCTTTTTTTGAGGACATCCAAATTAGAACAGAGCACTACAGTGAGCTAATAAAGAAAGAAGACCTAGTATATCTTACCTCAGATTCCCCAGATGTTCTCGAAGAGCTTGATGAGAAGAAAGCCTATGTGATTGGAGGACTGGTGGATCACAATCACCACAAGGTAAAACGTGGATCTGTTTCTTTATAGCTTTTTTCTGTTTTAGCACCTTATTTGACATAAATACTGTTGTTTCTAAACTAACAAAATAAATAATAAGAAAACTTCTTGAGAAAAAGACTTAAAAAAATTTTAGAAGAAATGTGAAACAAAGCTTTTGTGGTAGCAGTGGCTTGTGTTCCAGAATGCAGGCATGCTGGGCTTTTTTGGACTTTCAATTAAGTATAGGAATGGAATTAATAACACTGCTCAGCTTACTGAGAGCCATAGTTTCAGACAGAAGGGTTTGGTTTCCATTAATGCACTTGCAAGTCTATGTGCATGCTTGGATGCCCACATGCCCAAATACAGATGGCAGCAGCACTTGCATCTTGGGTGTCCTTTTTTAATAAGTTTGCTTCTCAGGAGAACTTGGCTGAGTAATACACATGCCTCAGAGATCTAGTTCCATACCTGTACGTGGGATCGTGCTGTGGGGACCTGGAATATCATAGAGAATGCAGCTGGGAAATTGAAGCGCTGTTACTACTTTAATATTTTGGTGGGATGCTAAAAAAAGGGATGTCTCTTCGACAGCAGTTAGTCCAGCAAAAGGCTGGGAGGGAGCTGAAGCAGATCCTTTACATAGACTTTGTGATATAGAGTGTTTACACAATTCTAAAGACTTTTTTTGCCCACCTTGGGCACAGGAGTTTTCAGGTATAAGAAAGCAAGCAAAATTTCTTTATCCTTTACTCTTCCTCTGCAAAAATACACAGTGACTGCAATGTGAGTAACGTTGTACTTAAGCATAAGCTCACCTTTAAAACAATCTGTGGCTGACTTGTTCTAGAGCTGCAGCTGCATGAAGTTATATTTACAAGCCTTTAGACCATTGGTCACAGTGTGACGTATGCAGAAAGTAGTGAGTTTTCCAAAAGGTAGCCCTTTTGAGGCAGATACTGTCTAACTAGGGTAAGTTTCTTTTTGCAACTGTCTTCTAAAGCAAGATCATGGCAGCACCAGCAAAACTCTTGCCAGAAAATTATACTTGTAATAAATCTGCATGGGCTGATCCAAAATGGTGATTCTGAATGCACTCATTTAGGTGTCTTTCCCACAGGGAATAACTTACAAAAAAGCTGTAGAGCAAGGCATTGGTCATGCGCAGCTCCCACTCAGAAACTTTGTCAAGATGAACAGTCGGAAAGTGTTAGCCGTCAATCATGGTAAGTTTTAAATCATAAAATAATGACATTGTTGTAGAATATACCTGTGATATTTACAGTTTGAACCCTCAAACTGCGCACTGCAGTGCAGGTACCTCAGCCTTGTTTTATTATGTTGATACTGCTTTTGGGGTACAGTAATTGCCCTGACCTTAATTTAAGTGTATTATAGAAACAGTTAAATGTAAATGATGGTGTCTTAGCGACTCAGGAGTGCACCTCCTATCCTGTTGGCTTTTCTCATGAATACTTGTGGCATTCTTATCATCCTGGTCTTGTTTCCAGGCTTAATGTATAAGTGTTGGAAATTATTCCATGTATTTCATGTCAGGGGAGAATACATTTGTAATGTTTTCACCTCCTTAGGCAGCTTTGTTCAGCAGCAACTGTCTCGGTACCTGTAGACTCACCACAGTTGGTATCACTGGTACTCAGGCTGCTGAGCTTTCATAACTTATTTTTACCTGATTTGCTGGTTCTGATTGAAGCATTCGATTGCTTAACCACGTCTTGAATCCCACTCCTTTTAAACTTCCAGTTTTATTACTAGATCATTTTTCAGTGTCAATAAACAAAAATGTTTGTAAAATGGAGCCTACTCAGATCTTTTTGGACATTTTTGACATGGTGTCAAAGGCTTTTTTGTGCCCCACTGCACATTATTTTATTTTATCTTACCTTGCTTTTTTCAAAGTGGTTTTTTTTTTATGTAACACATTGCTCAATGATACCTTTGTTTTCTTAAAGTGCCGTTGATTGGTGAGGTGTATTTTTCCATGATAATAAAGAGTACTTAAACATGGAGGAGACTATAGTATGTCACTGGACTAAAAAATTATCAAACCCCATATATTTGTAAGATTTTACATGTTTCTAAGACTTGATCTTAAACTGTTGCTTTATATAGAAAGAAAAAAGCTAATTACAGGAGTTTTTAGGAAGACTTTGGGCTGTCTGTGTGTTAGGGAGGGGTCAAAATGTTTGTTAAAGTGTATCCCCAGCAGTATTCCTGTCAAATATGGGGAAGCATTGGTGCCTGTATACAGGGAACTGGTGAGACCTAAAGTATTAGGAGGGGAGCATTTCTCTGTCTCTGAGAAAAATGGCTTGAAAACTGGAGCTACTGCAGAAAAGCAGTGCTGTGGGTCCTGTCACACAACTGGAGACTCAGATCACACTTGGCTTTAGGCTGCAGCAGTAGCAGAATTGCCTTGTCTGTCCCTGGCCGCACTTCATCAGCTCCACTGGGAAGCTGCCACAACAGGATGCACCTGAGCCTCTGGATGGGATGGATTTGGGGGTGTGTTCCTATCAGCAGTTCATTTATCTCCCTGTAAGAGAGCTGATGGGTTTTCTTGATGTTGCAGTGTTTGAGATCATCCTTGCCTACCTGGAGAAGAGAGACTGGAAGGAGGCCTTTTTCAGTGTCCTGCCACAGAGGAAAGGGGCTGTTCCTCTGGGAGAAGCCAATGATTCATCCAAACATGCTCTGTCTGAAAAAGAAGATGAAGACAATGACTCGGACAGTGACTAGGCTTTAGAAGGAGATGATGGGAAAGATGCAACACACAATTCATGGGATAAATCTGGGACGTGAAGGAGTTACACTCCAAAGACCATCTGCTGTCTTTGTAATACTGAATTGTCTCAGTGCTCGGTAGTTCCACAGTTTGCCTAAAGCTGTTTGTGTACATGAAGGGTAAAGTTAAATGCAGTTTTTTACCCTGAAACTTCAATATTATTAGCTTTAAGAAAAAAAAAGAAATGAATGGCAAATGTAGCATTTATTTTTCCCAAGGGAGCTGTTTAATTTAATTTTTTAATATTACTTTTTTATACATACAAATTTGGGTGTAATAGCCAAGAGCATTAGTAGTTACTATTTTAATGTATGCATTCTTCTCCATTTCTACTCTAAATTTTCTTAAAAGCAATTAATGACAAGCGTTCCTGTGACTCCAAAACCTGCACCACTAGTGCCTGTTGCAAAGTGTGCATGAACACTCAAAACAAACAAACAAACAAACATTGTAATTTTCCTGAACTTCTCAACACACAGTTGCAATCAACTGAACTGCCCAGTTTGTATATTGTGTTTAGTTAGGTGGGGTCAATAGATGAAATATGAGTGTGGGATTAAGGCAGTGCTTACACTTGAGCTTGAGTGGGATGGGTGTCAGCACAGGTGCAAATCATGTGCCTTGGTTGGCACATTGTGCGTGTTGAATTGAGGTGACACAATGACTTTTAATTATTTCTTCATCTCCTTAGTCAAATTTATCACACAGCCTCAGAACAATCCTAGGATACAAGAACTCTTCCTTATAAGTCACTTACTAGGATTCAGTATTCCTGTTTAGTCACATGATCCTGTTTGTAATGTATTGTCTGTCAAATATTTTCCTTTAAAAAAAGAAGTCATAATCTTTGTCTTGGCTGGATGTTCTGATTCAGCTTATTTCTAACTAACTGAAGTGCTTCTGCAAAGTAGTGAAGTGGACCCCTTGGAAGTGAGGCTTCACTTCAGCCCCATGAGCCTGCCCCATCCCTTTTTTCTCCAGGGACTAGCCAGGTAGCTGCAGTGCCTGAATAAGTACAGCTTTCACACCGGTTGGCTGAAGAGCGTGAGGACGTGGCATCCTAACTGGTCTGGTATGTTGCTCACTGGTGCCTCAGCCCGTAGTTGGTGTTGATGCTGTTTACCTGTTCTCTGTCTGTGCTAACCTAATCAGGTCATATGAGGCTGAAGTTCATGCCTCTTTTCACGAACTGGATGCTGTCCGTGGGATGTGTTCCCTGGTGCGATGGAGCAGTAAATGAGTAGAGTGGGACTTCGATGGGCATGGCCCTCTGACTACCACTGCCATCTGCAACCTTCCACATCCTACAGTTTTTCAGCTGTCTAGAAAAGGCTGTTCTTGGCAGACCTGGACTCACACTGAAGAAGTTTCTAACCCTTTCCTAAATGCTGTAGGTGCTCAACTCTTCACTGGTGGAATCAGCAGCATTACACACGACCATACTACGGTGGTGATTTGCTTTCAGTCAGCAGGCTGCAGCTGTGCAGAAGTCCTCTGTGGAGAAGTGATGGCTCAAGAAGCCCTAAAGCCTCATTCTTGCAATAAGTTCAGTGTAAAGTTACTGATGAGAACAGTTGAATTGGTTGTAGCACATGAAAATCAGCCCAGCATCAGATCAAGTTTATTCCTCATTTGCAATCTCCAGACCTGGCTGTATTGTTCTCAGTGTTTTCAAGATGGACACACTTGCATATTTTAGGCATGGCCAACTAATGCATACACAGTAAACAGAGACAAATCACTATACTGTTTTATAGTAGGAAAAGACAAGGAATTAGTTTCTGATAACAGGAATAAATATTTACATGGAGTGCTCTCAGGCATTTCTTAAAGAAACGTCCTTCTTTGAACCAGCTTCAGCTGCACAAAGTTAACAAAAGTGTAGAAAAACATGCAGGGAAGTTCTCTACTTCACTGTGCTCTCCTCAAGGAAGATCAGCTCTGACATGCTTGTCTAACCAGGCCTCTCAGACCTTTGAGGTGATGGCGCCACACCATCTCCAAGTAATTTTTGCTCTCTGTGCCCAGAGAATTTTTTTTTTGAAGTGTAATTTGAATCTGCCTTGTTTCAGTTTAGGTAGATTTGTTCCCTGGCCATGATGGAGTTGAGGAATAGGACATGACAAAAGAAGCTGCACAGAAGCTCTAGAAGAACGTGATCCCTGTGTTTTGCCACCAGGTGTCATTGCTGTGCTTAGGAAAGCTCTGATTTTCATCACTAAGCTTTGTGAATACCTTAGTTCAGGTATTGCCTGAACTATTGCTTAACAATCCTGAGCAGCTTCTGAACAGGAGAATACAGCCAGAGATCTTTATACCTGTCTAGTGAAACATTAGAAAGGCAATAAAGAAGGTATGGTTCAATGAATCTGAAAAGAAAATGTCAGAAAATAGGAAAGGGAGATGGCAGAAAGTCAAACCTTCAGGCACAAACGGGCAGACTTTCTTTTAGTGGCATGCAGTGGGGAGGTCACAAGAAGATGCCATAAGAAAGCCTGTTGTCTTGTTCCCTCCCACTGAGCCTCAACGCCCCTGGTTATGGGTGGGATATGACAGAGAGAACAGATTTCTGAAGTCATGCAGCATTCATCTGCATCTGTGTTGTGGCAATTTCCCAAACACTGCATTACTGCAGGTTAGTGTACTGTCCCCCTGCTTGTCCTTTTCCTGGATTCAGGTCAATTTGTCTGTGATTTGGTTTCCACATGTCCCGTGTCGTACGTGCTCGTTGACTCCTGGCTTGCTTATTGAGCAGAAGTGTTTGATTCTAGACACGACTCTGCAGGAGGGCACCTGAATTTTTTGAGTGGGAAAAAGCCTCTCTGAATGCCCCCATCTTAGAGGTTTTGGTCAAGAAGTTGACCACTGACGGTGTTTTTTGCAGTGCAAGCTGGCATACTGCACAGGGGTGCAACTGCTGAGGGGATCCACAGTGACCAGTTATTCTGAAAAACCATATCACCACCTGGGCTCAGGGCAGCTGCAGGAGTGCAGGAGTGGCATTCCTAAAGTCCTTAGAGCTTGAGGATAAGGTCAGGGACATTTGAAGACTTCCAGCGTTTCTTTGACTTAAACAGAACTTTAGATTGCTTGGGCTGTGTTGTAGATCCCACTGAAGATCATGGGTTCACCACACAGTTATCGGTGCTGGTTCATGTTATGGTAAAGTATCCATTTATACTGCAGGAGGTTTTAAAATAAGGTTTGAGTAAGCCCATATTCTTCTTGTCATAATTTACTCTGAAAAGCAGAGATGGAGTTCCATGTGACTTCCAAACCTAAAGCTGAATAAACTTTGGCCCATCTTTGAAATGTGTAGCTTAATTGTCTCTCTCCAAGAAGGTGGCTGTGTTAGCTGGGACAACAGCATCTACTACTGACAATCCTAAAGCCAAATAATAAAATGTTTGATTCATATTCATTCCCTTTTGCTCCTTTTTTACTTCAAGTAGTGTAAGATGTGGGTTTTTTCTTCTTGTTTGCCTTGTCTGGCTATTTTCAGAAACCTAAAAGGAAGAAAAGGCATTATTTAAAAAAGGGGTGTTCATACTTGATTCAGTACTCTCCTTAGATATTGCTTTTCTCTTCAAAATAATACTTGCTCTAAACTCACACACTTTCAGAACCACTGTTTAGCTAATTTGCAGCTTCCACCTTTGGCTTTTGTTCTTCAGCTTATTAAAATGAATAAGACATTGTCCCATGAGCATATGACTTATTTTCTGTGTGTTCTGGAAAGGTGTCCATATCTGGATGTCTTTGTTTACATTCTCACAAAACTGGATGTCATCATCCCATATGTGTTTAATTCAGCTCCACTGCCTTGACGTGCATATTATTATCATCTCAGATATGACCCCTAAGCTTTTTGAAGAGCTTAACCTGCCTTGCCTGCAAGCTCTGAATCCTACCTGCTGCTCAGTTTTATCTCTGCTCTTCAATACAAATGAGCACCTGCAGTGTTTTGTGTACCTAATCTTTTGGACAACCTTAAATGTGTAGGTGGAAGAATACAGAAGGGTTGGAGCAGTCACAGCTTCTGTACTGTGTAGAGTGAGACTTCAGAGATGTTGTTGGTTTTTTTCCTACCTACTACTGCCATGTGGATCCCAGAGCTGAATCCTTTGTGTTACCAAGCTCTGAACAAGAGACTCATAAAGAGTAACGTGAAAATTGCTATCACACAGTAGGAAAAAATGCTGAATTTTCAATTTCAACAGAATTGCTGTCTGAAAAGAAACATGCATGTACCTTGGTAAGCTTAAAAATTAGCAATGTAGATAAGGAGAAAGTAACCTAGTTTTAAAACTGCTTAAGTTTTAGCTAAAGCTAATATGTATTTTATAATCTGTAGGGCAGAGTGTATAGTTGCCACTAAAATCTATGATGCATAACTGCCCTTAAAGCTTCTTTTCTCTAAAGAGTTAAGTCACTTGAGCTGTGGTTCAAGTATTCTCCTGTTAAACTGAGTCAGGTTTGGTGCAGAAGAATTAATTTTATGTTAAAAGAAGGCTGTTTCTGAAACCCCTCGCTCTCTTACCTAGAGTCAATGCATTGCTTCAGGAAAGCAAGCAGTGCAAGGCTGCTCAGCCCTGGTGAGAGTGAGGAGTGGGAAGCAGGTTGTACTGCCTGTGAAGTGTCAGTAAACAAGAACCACCTTCCACTACAAGCGCCTTGTAGTCAGAAACTGCAGCTCTGGCTACGATCTGCTGAGCATGGCCAATGCTTCGTGTCATTTGCCCAGGTTACAGTCCCCAAGTAAAGACGGCCTGGAGTTGCATGAACAGGTCTTTGTCCACTGCTTCTAACTTTTGTGTGCAAGCTCACCAGCCATGAACACCTCCAAAATGTTCTTTCTCTTCTGCCTCTGGCACCACATTTCACTGGAATCTGCTGAGGTTAGTAAATCACTGGAGGGAGAATATTAGTCCCTCATGTTCAGTTGGATAAAGTGAGATAAAAAGCTAATAAAGGAATTTTGTATCATATATCCTGAGAAACATAGGATATTTTGAGTTGGAATGGACCTGCATCAAAGTCCAATTCCTGGCCCTGCACAGGAGAGCCCCAGAGTCACACCATGTGCCTGAGAGTGTTCTCCAAATGCTTTTTGAACTCTCTCAGGCTTGGTGCTGTGACCACTTCCCTGGGGACCCTGTTCCAGTGCCCAACCACCCTCTGGGTGAAAAACCTTTTTCTAATATCCAACCTAAACCTCCCCTGTCACAGCTTCATGCCATTCCCTCAGGTCCTGTCAGTGCTCACCAGAAAGAAGGGATTTTAATTGCATAAGAAGGAATACAACATGTAGATAAGCATAAAGAAAAGTTCCCTTCATAGGAACCTGCCCTAAAAGGGGAGAGAATGGGTCTAGGGATCAGTTAAGTATCATTTGGCAAGTATTAGAGCAAAGGGTTGAGCCAGTGGGCCTATGCCAGCAAGTCACAAAGGGGCGGCACTGTAGGTTATCTGCATGTAAGGGTCATTGTACACTTCGAGCTGCAGCCTCGCCCTCACTGTTTTTAGGAGTTGGGCAGAGCAAGGCAAATAAAGCAGCTTTTGCAATACAGTTACGTAAGTCGGCTCATGCTTCTCTGACACCATGTGCAGTCCTTTCCTCCTAAAGACCGTGCCACCTACCGCTGTGCAGGCTGCAGACAGGATCCACTGTCCAGTGTTCTCAGTTGAAGGCACCCACTCTGGCCGAAGGACATTGTTTCCAGATGGCCTCATCTCCACTCTCTGAAAAAAAAAGTCATGGCTTTGATATGCATATAGCTAAAGAGATGAGGAAAATTTTGAGGGGAACTCAGAAGGATTACAAGGGTGTTGTGAGTTTTTGCAGGGAGGAAATTAGAAGGGCCAAAGCCCAAATAGAACTTCATCTGGCTGCTGCCATAGACAACAATAAAAATGTGTTTCTATAAATACATTAACTGGAGTAGAGCCCCATCGTGCGTATCAGTGACTTGGGAAGACAAATGCCATCACTCCAAATGTCCCCACCTTCCTCCTTCTTCCCCCAGTTTATATACTGAGCATGATGCCATATGGTCTGGAATATCCCTTTGGTCAGTTTGGGTCACCTGTCCTGGCTGTGTCTCCTCCCAACCTCCAATGCACCTCCAACTTCCTTGCCACCTTGGCAGTATGGAAAACAGAAAAGGCCTTGGCTCTGTGTAAGCCCTGCTCAGCAATAACAAAATCACCTCTATATTACCAACACTGTGTTCAGCACAAATCCAAAACACAGTCCCATACCAGCCACTGGGAAGAAAATTAACCCTACCCCAGCTAAAACAAGCACAGAGGTTCAACAAGGCCAAGTGCTGGGTCCCGCTCTTTGGTCACAACCACCCCATGCAGCACTACAGGCTGGGGGCAGAGTGGCTGGAAAGCAGCCTGAAGGAAAGGGACCTGGGGGTGCTGTTTGACAGCTGGCTGAACATGAGCCAGCAGTGTGCCCAAGTGGGCAAGAAGGCCAATGGCATCCTGGCCTGTATCAGGAACAGTGCGGCCAGCAGGACTGGTCAGATTATATGCAACATTTTATCTCATTTTGGCTTGTTTCTGAAGGAAAAATCTTGATTTCAGAATGCTGGGCATAATTTGAAAAGAAGTCCACAGCAAAGGCATGCAGTGCTGACCTCCACTCAATCCCTTGCACCAGCACATTGTGCCAGGAGAGACTGTGTGGGCATATGAGCAGTGATGGGGCCTGTGCTTGTGGGCGTTGACGGAACCGATGGGTCAGGCACTCACAAATTGGGCAGGGTCTTGTGTCTGGTCAGATACATGCATTCTGTCCCAGCTGTTCTTGCTGACTTACTGATTTTTGTTTTCCAATCAGCATGATTGGCACGTTGCCCTTGGACACTATGAAGTGAAAACCATTCCAACAGATTAATCAGTAGCCGGACTGGAAAACTAAGAATTCGGGAGCTGGTACAGCTGCAGCCAGACAGTGAGTGTATGTTTCTTAAGAAGCTTGCACACAGTCACATGTTTTAGTATATCAGCTGGACTCTTACGAGTGTCACCAAAGTTCATCAGCAAAGCCTTCATGTTCTCACTCCCCCCTTTTCTCTTTGCGTGTACAGTGCCACTGAGAGAAGCGGGTTTGGAGAGCAGCTCCCAGGGAGGTGGAAAGAGGGAAAAAGCTTTCAGCCAGGGCTTTTGCTTTCTTCCTGGGATGCTGAGAGAAACCATAAGAGGGATGCAAAAAAAGGGTAGGGAAGAGTGTGACAAAGGAATCAGGAAGACAGAAGCAATGTAGAGAGTGAGGTTTCATCATATAAGTGGTTTATTTTCATTCTAGCACTTTTTCTGATTAAGGGGTGGGACTCTGAGCTGGGAGGCTTGGCTAAAAGCTCGGAGCTCCACTTTCAGGAGCACTTTGTAAGACCAGCTTCCAGTGTGTTGGAGAGGACTTGTGGTGCCAGCAACCCGACTGCTTTGAGGCTGAGTGAAGTCTTGGCGGCAAGATTCGAAACAGACACACCAATCAACATGAGCACAGCAGGAAAAGTAAGCAAAAGTTCATATTAGAATAGATTCTTTGCTGCAGCTGAGTAATGCATTTTTAAACGCAAATTCTTTGCTGGGACACCGTAAGTCCTGGTGGTACAGCACTAGATGAGAGTTTAGGATGAAGCTGCTAAAGGAGAACTGTCTTTATTTGCAGGTCACTGTACTCTTCTAGAAAATGGTTGTTAACTCTTCAAGGCAATAGTTTAATTGTGCTGACATTAGGACAGTCATTAAATTTGAATATGTATATAACAAGTCTCAAACTTTAGTTAATGAAGACAAAAAGTAAGTTTCATATGCAATGCAGTACTGAGCTGGGACTGAGTAGGTGCATGTCTTTGCTAGAAAATAAGTGACGAGAGAGATGGAGGTTAATACCAATACCCATTGCTTCTTGCACTACTGCTGAGGTGCTCACATACACCCAGGGACCTGCAAGAGAGGTTGATGGACAAGGAACCTAGAAATAGAAAACTACTGAAAGCATGTACCTTGCTGTAATGTGCCTTAAGAAAGTACCAGGATCATTTGCTGTTACTGCTGGCTGTCTTCTCTATTCTAAAACCAATTAAAACAAGAGAAAGGCAAAAAAAAAAAAAATGCTCTCTTTAACTGTGAATTACTGCAAATGCAAAATTAATTGTAGCTCACTTGTAGATAGATTCACCAAGTTCAGTTCTCTACCCGGCCTTGGGCTAAGCATAGTAAGTGAAGTGTTGTAATGTAACTTAACTGCCTTGATTTCACCATGTTTATCTTGGAATGATGTGGGAGCTACCATGCATTTTATGTAACCAAGCAGCATAATCCTCATGCCCTGTAAAAGGGTGTGTTTCTGGGCCTACCCTCCCCCACCACAGTAACTTGCAGGGCTGGTAGAACACATAGAAAAAAAACTGACTCCAGCCAGTGCTTGTCTTGACAGATGAAGTGGGTGATAGTGTGCTGGTGGTGCATCTGTGGGATTCTGTTGTAATCCGTAAACTTTCTCAGGGACACAACCACCAGAACAATACACAGTTAACCAATGTCTTATAGGAGAGATTTGTTTGTTCTCAGCAATCCACAGTTGTTGGCTACCTTTGTTCTAGGAAACACTACATGTCTTTGCATGTGCAAGTCATAAAATCATCATTGTGCTATGTGTGATACAATATAAATACATAAATCACCATTTTTTGGTTTTTTTTAAATAAGTTTCCTGGAAAATGTGGCCCTTTAAAATGTGATCTTTGGTCTCACTTGTGAATATTTTATTAATCACGCATTTGACACATGAAATGTTACATTTAGTGTAAATGTCTCTTGAGGCAGTTTTTTTCAAAGCATTGGGCCCATCCCACTTTGTGTCTAGCTGATAGTGTGCTACTTTATTTTATATGTGTAGTATTTCCTAGTAATTATTTCCTTTGTTACCAGTTTACAGTTCATGGATAACTAGACGTTATTTCTACTTCTACTTCAAAAGCTTTGATACGAAAAATTCGTTTGTTTGTTTTCCCCTGTGAATTTTGCAGCACACTGGAGTTAAGTTGGCCCAGTGATGCAGGATACTCATGCATGTGCTAAACTTCCTTCATCATGGACTCAATTCCCCTCCATTTCCCTCTCAAGATAATGCCACCCGAATACTTGCAGTCAGTAGACTTTAGAGTGACTGAAGGTACTGTCTCACTCATAAGGTTGTCACAGAAAATCATATTCCAGGGCCTGGGGTTGTTTAAAGATCTGGGATGGGCTGAGACCACCAAGGAAGGACAGGAACAGATATAGGGACAGAGAGGCTGCGCTGCTTTTGAATACACTAGGATTGAGACTGCAGGGAGGAAAGCTTCTGTTTGAGAGCCTGGGAGTGAACAATGCTCCTCTCTCTTCTGAGTGTATTATTCTCTCAGTGGCAGATGGTCAGAGGAACCCTAAGAGCTGTCAGTACCTGGACAAAACCTGAAGAACTAATGGACAAACTTTAACCTAACAGACAGGGGGGAAAAAAAAGCTGTCTTGGGTAGTAACCCCATCTGAGCTAAATGTCCCTTCTGAGAAGGAAGGTACCTAAGCATGGATAATATTGTGCTGAAAGTGCTGTTCAAGATTACCTCTGCCTACTGCTGTACCATTTAGCATAGGTGTCCTTTCAGCCATCACCTCATGGCTGAATTTGGGCTCTACTAAAACATTTATAAACCTGTAGTAAGCTCCGAATTCCATTTTTAGCAATTTTGTCAGTTCCCAACACAGGCAGTTCTAGGCAACACAGACTTTATCACCACCTGATACATGGCATCATTTAGTGTGCCATCTCCAAGAAGACACAAATATACACAAATAATCACCAACATGGCAAAAAAAACATCCTCCAAGGAAGTTAGAGAAGGACCAATGAGTATGAACAAGGTATCCAGTTATCCTGGAGACTATTATACATGCTGCCAAAAACTTGATGTGACAGAAATACGAGCAAAGTCAGACACGATCTTGGTGGAGGAAAAACATGGGCTTACACTGTCCTTTGGTGTTGGCTCTTTTGCTATGTATTGTTTGGGGTTTTTCCTGTAGTTTTCCCTATCTTCTCCACAGATATGAGCAGCAATTTCACATGCAGAAATGTAAGAATCTCTGTGGTGACTTGAAAATGCAAGTGCCATTCCTGTTTTCTTTGCTCTGTTTGCAGGTTATTAAATGCAAAGCAGCAGTAATGTGGGAAGCCAATAAATCATTTAGTATTGAGGAAGTGGAAGTGGCCCCACCAAAAGAACATGAAGTTCGCATAAAGGTACTAAAAATAAAATTTAAAACAACTCTTATGACTTGGATTCTATCTTGCTTTTTATCAGAATTATTTTTATAGATTTTTAAGATCCAGTCAGAAAACATTCTACTAGAGAGCAGTTACTTATCAGTGAGCTCCTACAGAATATGTTTAAAGTCCTAAATTTGATAATGAGTTTCTTAAAAAAAAAAGTTTTCATGGTTGGCTTTTTTGTTTACAGACAGTTGTTTTTCAAATAAGCTGAAAAAATTACAGTACAAGTTAAAAAATCAGAATCTCCTGTAGAGTGGAGCAAGAAATTTTCTCTTACTTTGTTTGAATCTGTGCTAGGAAACAGCCCAGTAGGGCTAGGAGCTTTCTTTTTTTGCCAAGATATTGATCTCAGTGGAATTCAGCAGCAGTTTTAAGTTTTCATTTTAGAGCAGTTTCAAGTGTTACAGAAGTGAGAAAACCCTCTCCTGGGGTTAACAACTCCATTTGTCGGAACAAAAGTTGTAAATACATACCTGAATGTTTCAAAAGAAATACTGCTGCTTTAGCTGCAAGAAAAGGCAAAACATGATATAAAATACTATGTGTAGCCTAAATTTTTGTATATGTAGCATATATAAATATTTAAAATATATAAATAATATGTAATAATTATTATGTAATTCTCTATATAATTTTATAATACATAATTTAATGTATATTGTCATATAATCTAAATATAATAAATATAAAATATGCACAATATTTCTCTGTTTATAAATATGTGGTGGTTAATTTACATAATTTTGTAATATTTTTGTAATATTATAAAGTTTTCTTTTTATGTATTTATATATAAACATTAGGAATAATTTAATTTATTCTGTTCTTCCTATATAATTGTATTACTAGAACATTGGTTCTGCCAGATAGTCAGTGTGACTACCTATACAGCTCAGTACTGCAGAAAAAACATTCACAAAGGACCCTTGCTCTGTAGATTAAAGCCTAATACAAACCATGAAAATTTTGAATCACACAACCAAAACTGTGCTACCTGTAGATTTATTGTATACATATTGGATTTTGGAGGAAAGCAAATGACTTCTCCAAATGTAAGATATCATTTCACTTCCACATATGATGTGACGTAGTTAAATGCTGAAATATTGTTGTCTTTGCTGTAAATCAGATCATGGCCACAGGGATCTGTCGCTCTGATGACCACGTGATAACTGGTGCACTGGTTATGCCTTTTCCAATAATTCTTGGGCATGAAGCAGCTGGTGTTGTGGAGAGTGTTGGGCAGGGAGTGACTTCGTTCAAACCAGGTATGGAGCAGCAACTGAACACAAACCCTGTACTGAGTTTCCTGACTCCTCTTTGAGTCAAATATTATTACATTTGCGAGTATTTGTATTGTTGAGGAAAATATTCCAACTCTGATTCTTTTCAAGGATACCTTAGAAGACACTACCTGTGTTTAGGTCTTTCTGAATTCCCAATCTTGATTAATTTTTTGATTTTCTATTCAGTTTCTTTTGGTTTTGGGAAAAACACCTGCAGCTTGCTTTCCACCTACAGAGCACTTTTCCTATCATGGGACTAAGAAAATAGATTCTTTGCTGTTGGTCATAGGAAATCAGGTATTAGCTGCAGATTCTTTGAACACAGTTTATACAACTAATCTCTCTCAAGAATAAGGCAAAGCAATGCACTAGACAACATGTCAAAGTACCTTCTTTTAATTCTCCTAACTGCTAAATAATCCATTGACTTCCAGAACTTAGGTCTGTGTGTTCAATTACTTCACTTTAAAAATATCAGGGCACAACTGGAGTGCCCATCCTGCTGCAGGCTCTGCGTGCGGGCAGCGCCAGTGCAGGTGAGCCAGCACTGCTCCCTCGGGGCTGCATTGCTCTGAGGACACTCCTCTGGACCAGCTGCTCCTTTCACTACTTTCTCCTTGAGCAACAATGCGTAGATGGTCAGTGAAAGATGCCGGTTTTCCTCCAACTGCTGCAAGATGAGATGGGATTTCTGTATGCTTTTATAGGACTGAACAAATTATAACAAGGGGTAAATTATAAAGAGAAAAATATGCAGTGAAAAAAATCTGCATAGAAATGCTCAATTTCCAGGCAGCTTGGTTATGATACCCGAGTAATTCACTTTTAATGCCTCCGTACTTCCTGTGTCTTTGTCCACACCGATGAGTAAGAAGTCTGTCCAAAGCAGGCTGGTGTGTATAAGAAAAAATTTTATTACAGATTTTTGCTTTAACGCCAAACAAATACGCATATTGCAAATTTCAGTGGTAGCTCTAACTGCTTTTTCTCTTATGTCTGGGTTCATAAATCACTCTGTTGTCTCATTCTTGCTGCCTCATGTTTCCAGGTGAGATGAAGCAGCATGCCTGAACGCACATGTGCACCAAATCACATTTCTCGGATGTTGCTTAATTTACACCTTCAAGTTCTAAAAAAGGCTCCATGATGTGCAAAGTCTCTTTAGGAGAATGATTACTAAGCCCATGTCATATTTCTAAGTTAACTGAGGGTTGGGGTAGTGGCAGCATTTCATGTTCTGTAGGCCTTTTCCATTTTTAGTGAAAATCAAAAAATTCCCTGGACTTTCAATGTGTCAAGGATTAGCCAAATTTTAAAACTGACAAATCATAAATTGATCTGTATTAGGAAATGCCTGTTTAGAGATTATTAGCGATTTACCATACATCATTGCTGTGGAATTGCACGGGAGCAAAAAATTGCACTGGGGAGCTATGTTCTACTTTGCTAATCACATAATTGTGCAAGAGAAGTAGAGATGTTGGTTTAGTTTGTCTGTGTTACTGCTTCTCTGACAAATATTTTGCCTACCTTTACTCCAACGCAACAGTAATAGGACTGCTAGTAGCAAAGAGGCTCAAGAGGACTGAGAGTTAATGCTTAATTCCTCATTCTTTGTATGCACAGTTTACAGCCCTGTTATCATGGCACTGCAGTCTAGGTGATGTCAATTTTTATTTCAGTTTCTTTATTTGTGTATTACTATTTTCCTTTTACACAGAAGATGCAATAAACTGCTGAATAAGTAGTTCAGGAATATCAGTAGCAAACATGGGTTTATGACATAGACTCAGTTCTATGGAAAGACACTAGGAATTTTGCATATAAAAATTAGTTGGATAACACAGAGAGACGGTTTATCTTCCAAGGGCAGCAGAAATAAAACCATCACTGTACTCCTAGTAAACATTTGCCTGGCAATTAAATACACTTGCTTCACGTTTTTACCTGTATGCTTCTCGTTTGCCTTTTCTAATCCTCTGTCATTACTGTTTTATTTCTAGGAGACAAGGTTATTCCACTCTTTATTCCACAGTGTGGGGAGTGCAAGAGTTGCTTAGGCACCAAGGGTAACCTGTGCAATAAAAATGAGTGAGTTTTCCTTGGTTACTTACAACCCTAATTTGATTTTTCTTGATACAAAACTGATTACACACAACAGATTTCATTTGCCATTATTTCTGGTCATCTTTCAAACAGCCTTGCTTTGGGTGGTGGATTAATGCCTGATGGCACCACTAGATTCACCTGCAAAGGAAAAGCAATTCACCATTTTCTTGGTACAAGTACCTTCACTGAGTACACAGTAGTGCATGAATCTGCTGTAGCCAAAATCGATTCCGCCGCTCCTCTGGAAAAAGTTTGTCTAATTGGCTGTGGATTTTCAACTGGTTATGGGGCTGCTCTGCAGACTGCCAAGGTAAGTATTGTGGTGGGTGTTTCTGATATCTCATGGGGTCTGTTCAGGATTGTGTGGCCTGCAAGTGGGTCATCAGCATGGCAGCCAGGAGGTATAGGCTCTGCTTACATCACATCAGGGTGGAAAGAAGACACTAGTTCTTTGCTTACTTCAGATTCTCTGTCTCTAAGGTACTCAGAAGTCTTCAATTCAAAATTCAGTAAAAATACTTATTACCATTTCTTAAGTTTTCCCTCATAGCTTTATCACCCCTATAAAATGTTACAACAGAGCGTTTTTTGTTTTATTGTAACTGAAGTCTAGGAATTCAGAGAAGGCTATATATATAACACTCATAATTCATAGCAATACATGAATGGCAGCTGGCACTGACTCCAGTGGAGTGACACTACAGATCTTAACACCACTGGAATATAAAGCATCATTAAAAAAAAAAAAAGGGTGCGTCTAAACTTGAAGCTGAGACATATAATGAAAACTTGGTCTCAGAAATGTATTTTAGGGATAATTTCTCTTAGCCACATGTAGGTTTGTAACAGTATAGCTGGCTACTGCACTAGTAGGTATGCATTTGCAAATTCCTCCTCTAATCTCTAGATTAAAAAACTGTCTTAAGTGAAATCATATTAATAATGAGAAAATGCATTGTACTTTTCCTAGACTGTAACAGTATTCCATATTTACATGGTTATTATAGGTGGAACCAGGCTCCACCTGTGCTGTCTTTGGCCTTGGAGGAGTTGGCCTCTCCGTTATCATAGGCTGCAAGGTGGCTGGAGCTTCCCGCATCATTGCCGTGGATATCAATAGTGACAAGTTTGCCAAGGCCAAGGAGCTGGGAGCCACCGACTGTGTCAACCCTAAAGATTTCCAGAAGCCCATTCATGAAGTGTTGATGGAAATGACCGGCCAGGGTGTGGATTACTCCTTCGAGGTCATCGGCCGCACGGATACCATGGTAATGCAACCACAGGGTGTGGCCAAATGAGGCACTAGCTTGTTAGCACTCTCTTCACTAACCCACTGAGCACCAAGGATGAAGAGCTAAGAGCCACTGCAAAGCAGCAAGCTAACCTGTCAAGTCTGCCACTGAGATGCAGGGACAGAAGCATGCTCAGAAACTTAGGAAAGGGAACTTCATTGTAGTGCCCTGGCCTAATCAGAGTGGCTAAATTTCACATAGCCCATTATCTGCTTTCCAACTGTACCTTATCACTAATGACTGAGACAAAATGGGGAGGGAAGGAGAACAAAGCTAGGAATACTTAACAGCAGATAAAGTGGTGTGAGCAGATACAATGGAAATTTTTTTATGTGGTCCCAGTTATAGAAAACGAATTGCAAGTAGAACCCTGGGAGGAGGAGGAGTTCAAACTTTTGTGCCTCAGTGGCAAATCTTTTATGACTCTGAGTGTCCCTCTATTTCAAATACAGACCGCAGCCTTGGCCTGTTGCCAGTATAACTACGGAGTCAGTGTGATTGTGGGAGTGCCCCCTGCAGCACAAAAGATCACTTTTGATCCCATGCTTCTCTTCACTGGTCGCACCTGGAAAGGCTCTGTCTTTGGAGGTAATGACTTGGAAAGTTGTGGTTTAATTGGCTTGGGAAACTTGTAAATCATCTTGGATGAAATAGGATATGTCAAATTCACTGCTTAGATTTTCTTAAAGGAAGTAATATTGATAGCTATTCTGCTGACAAAGAAGTACATAAGGAATTAATTATGGGAACTGTTAGTTTACGCCAAGAGAAGGAGGGAGAAAAACAAAAAGGAGGAAAACAGGGAAGAGAAGAAGAGAGACAGAAAGGAGGAGATAAAATGAAAGAAAATAGAGAAAAAGAAAGAGGAAATAAGAAAGAAAATAGGAGGAAATGAGAAAAAAGAAAGGGAGAGAGAAAGGTTGAACAAGAAAAGGTGGGGAGGGAAGGAGGAGAAGAGATAAAAATAAAGCAGAGGAAATGAGATAAAGGGAAAGACAGGAGAAGGACAAAGGGAGAAAAAAGAGAAAATGATAAAAAGATAAAGCGGAGGAAGAGAGGAGAGAGGGAGGGTGAGAAAAAGAGCCACAGCAAAAAAAAAAAAAAAAAAAAAAAGAGAACAAGAGGGAGAGAAAGAGGGAGAAATGGAGAGTCAGGACCATAAAGGACATCAGGGGTCATACCAGCTGATTTCCACACATGTCAGACCCCAGCTCAGCCCCTGGACAGCTGCTGACAGTTCCTTCCAGTTCTTTCTCTTTTTGGAGCTCTCCCAGCAGAGTCCCACATGCAGCAAGTCCTAGCTCACTCAACACCAAGCCGAAGGCCACAGAAAACTTGTTTCCAACAACAGGGCTTCTCACTCACAGCCAGTTCTCTGATGTATTCAACAGGCACCTGAATAAAATAGCAGAGACAAATTAGATTCCTCTGGAAGGGCATCCTACAGTTTGTGACAGCTTTATCTAATAGTGCTTGTAAGAAAAAAGATACACATCCACCCCCCACCCTCAATTCTGACCAGACAATCAACTTTCCACTTAGCAGATTACCAATGGCTGTCAGCATTCTGGCTTTTGTATGAAATGGGATTAAGTTGAAACAGTATTTGATGCGGGGGAAAGTTTGGATTCTGTAAAGATTCAAATATTTACTGGTCTTCTACCAGTAAAGCACTTACTGGGTTTGCCACATGTGGAATAGCTGCACTTCATCCCATGTTTCCTGCTGGTACCCTGTTACAAAGGTAAAGACATGCTGCAATATTTAATCCTGTTACTCTGCTATAGCAAGTTTATCTAACATTTAAGCTGCTGTGGGTTTTATCTATTTTCACAAGCATTAATGTTGCATTATCCATTGTCTCTGGGGTTTTTTTCAGGCTGGAAGAGTAAAGATTCGGTCCCTAAGCTGGTTGCTGACTACATGAATAAAAAATTTGTTCTGGATCCATTAATAACCCACAAACTTCCTTTCACAAAAATCAATGAAGGATTTGATCTGCTGAGGACAGGGAAGAGGTAAACATGGTTTCATTGTAAATGTGCATGCAGTTCACCACAGTAAAGATTCTGTATAAATAGCTTAAAGGAGCTGTACAGTAAGACAGAGCCTGACTTCATGGCAGAGAATGGGGAAGGCAGCCAACTACGCCCCTTAATCTCTCCCAGTGTGTGCCCTGGGTTGCAGCCGTGACAATAAAGCCAGCAAACCTTCAGCTTTTGAAATGCAGTGGGCCCTGGCCTTCCTTTCAGGGGTGAGAGTGAGAAAAGACAATGCAAATGAGGAAGTCTTTGCCCACTACTCATTGGAAAAGAGCACACAGCCAAGGGAGCATGGGAATGCCAAGCTGCAGAGTGCCAGGGGTTAGCTACATCGCATTCCAAGAAACATTTGAGGATGAAGAGCAGGAACACAGTAAAAGCCTATGTTTACTGTAAGAGCAACTTACCATTCCTCTTGTGAGTTATGTAACAGTCCCAGTGCAATTGGTTTGGAAGTCTCTGGGTACTCTACCTTGAACTTCAGAGCTTTTCAAAAAGGAAAGTATTTGCTGTATATATACATTACAAACTCAGAATTTGGCTCTTGTGCATTCCTCAAATATTGTGAAAGTTCACCTCAGGCTCTGCTTTCATAGGGTATTGAAATTGGAAATATTCTTTGCCAAAGACATTTGACAAGGTTCATCATGGAAATTCAAAATTGTCCTTGGCAGAAGTAGGAAATACTTTTGTATACCTTAGTGTGTGGGGACTACCCTTTTTTGAAGTTCTAGGTGTTTGTAACTTACACAGTCTGGAGAATTACCTTCATGTTTTCTTTTAATTGTCGTTTTCTAGCAGTTATTTTAGGTGTTACTTGCTATGGATAGAAAAAGCAAGTAACAGAAGAATTTAAACCCCTGAGGTTTGTTCTCAGGCTCTAATGATGCAGCACACACTTCATTTTATGATTGTCCTTATTTTAGACGTATTATAAATGTTAGTTTTAGTTTTTAGTGTAACAAATGGGAAAGTGATGAGGACAGAGATGCCATCAGCTTTGCTAGAATACTGAGAGTCAACCTGAAGACAGAGGCACATTGCAGCTGATCATTCTTACTGAGTGAAATACTTCGGTGTTTCAGCACAGAATAAGTTGTACCAGTCAGAGGTTACCCTTACAGCCATTTGTAATTGGAAATATGGATCTAAGCCCCCCCTCCCAAGAAGTTGCCAGGCTACAGTTGGTAATTAAATACCAGGAGCCCTGGGCCTCACCAGTGAAGCCTTTGCAGTCTTATGTGAATTTTGTTCTCTGCAGCTGCAACCAGGTTTGCACATCTGCTCTGTCCTTTTGCTGCAAGTTGGGATGGGGGGCAGGCAGGGAGGGAATACCCTGGTTGACAGCAGTAGCCTAGATTATCAGAGAAAACAGCAGTGTTCTGCTGATGTTAGCCCAGGGCTTTTCTACAGTCACTAACTTGTCATTTTATATTGCAGTATTCGCAGTGTCCTGATGTTTTAGGATTCTCCAATGTTAAGCAGCAGATGGTTCAGCACTAGTACAAACTTTACCATCCTCCAATACAACTGATATGAAATACAAACCAAGACATTCCTGAAAGGTCTACCACCACCATCCTTGAATAAAAGGATCAGGCTCGAACTCCACACTTCAAGCACAACATTTATAAATGAAATAATCTTTTTCTTTCTACCTCCTTCTCTTCATTCTTGTTTTAAATCTTCTACATTGTGCTGTAATTTTTTAATAGCCAGTTATGAGTTACAGAACTTGCTGCTGCCACAGGTGTTATAAAAATGTTGAGTTTTTTAAATTACTTATAATATACAATCTTTTAATAAAATAAAAATTAAGAAAACAGGGCTTCCGTAACACTGCAAGCTTAAGAGACTTGTGCACGCAGTTCAGTACAGTAAAACAGTTAGAACTATGTATCCATCCTGAATGACTTTAGCATTCCAGTGCCTGATAGGCAAGGAAATTACTGCAGAAATTAAAATTTATGGTGACCATGTGTTCTTGTTAATAATTTCAGTAAATGATATTTAAGTAAATCACAGACTTAGGTACTGAAGAATGTCTCACCACTGGATATTTTAGCAAATTAACACTTCCAGACATCTTATGTAAAACTGCTGTGGTGGTGTTCTGTATTGTGGTTTGTCTTTGGTGGGTTTTGTTGTTTTTTTTTCCTTTACCTTTGTGCCTCTTTCTTGGCGTTGTTTTAGTTGTTGATCAGTATGGGTTTAGATCTTTGGCCAGTTTATACAAGTGCATCTGATGTTTGGGAAACAATGTGAAGAAATATGAATGTGCATCAAATATTGATTTTTGTTTCCATTACATAAAGGGGAGGTTTCTTAACCTCTTAAGTGTGAATACAGAGTAAAGGGGAAAAAGCAGGTGACTGGTAACAGTTTGCAACAACTCAAACCATAAAGCATCTTGCTGCTTTCTGCATTTGCAATGTGGAAACAGGAATAGAGGCTATTTCTATCTTGGCACATATGGTCAACATTGACTTATCTTCTGAAAGGACTAATCAGAGCTTGCAGGCACTCATTCACATGCATGGCAGCTGGGTAGGAGAGTCTGTGAAGTAAGGGGACTCTGTGCTGCTGCTGAGTTACTTTTTTTTGTCAGCAGAAAGACTCTTTGAGCTGCCCGGCTGGTTTAATGATTTGAGGACAAGTTTACCAAGAGATTACACTTTAACAGAAGAAGATCGTTAAACATGTGTATAACCTAAATTTACACAATTAAGAGCTGAACTTCAGTCTTTAGACTAGAAGAGGAAAAAAATTGAGCTAGAGAATAAATTACAACAAACCTCATTTCTATGCTCTTCAGGATGATGCAAAGCCCATTTTTGTTGTTCTAATCTGCCAAGCATAGTAAACATCTACTGTTAGTATCTTTACTAGGATAGTTGCTAGTGTCCAAAACAATAAACCATTCTCCTTAGGGACATTCTATAAGGCAGCCATCTAGTTCTGTCTCCACATGGAGGAATGAAGTGTCTTCTGACTGGAGAACAACAAAAAGTTCATAGTTACTTCCCTAGAGTATTGTGCCCTGCAGATCCTCATCAATAGTCAGCTGAAGATCAGTTTGTCTGTGTGATTGTACAGCGTGGACAGAAGGTTTCTGGCAGACCTTCCTAATGGCTCTCTGGCTCTGAGGTACTTCAGGTGGGTTCAGGGCAACATACAGCAACTCTGTGTGAGCCTCCATTTTGGAGCTTTCCTGGGAGCAAGTAGAGACCACACTCCCCATCAGAGCACCAGATGTCCACTAGCACATGATGACACTACAAAAAATCCACAAAAGAACATGACAAACTCAGTAATTTCCCAAGAAACAAACTCTCCATCTGACGAAGCACAAATGGTGTTTCCTCAGACCTTAAACTATGCCAAGTGTTTACTGAACATCACTCGGCTTCGCACACAGCTGAGCACGCTCATGTTTCTGCTCTCCCATCACATCCCACCCACCCAGCCACTCCCCCTGGAAACAGCACAGGACAGTTGTGCAACTCTAGCAGCACATGCTGCAGCGTGCAGACATGCACTATGCAGCTCTATTTTTACATGCTTGTGAGATCACCCTCCCTGACAGTGCATCACGGCCAAATGATCATTTCCACACAGCATAATCCCCTTTGCTGCTTCCAGGTTATCAGATGGAGAGCACCGATCCCAGTAATAAAAATATCTCTGCTATGCAGATACCTGGGAGACAACAAGCCTGTGTTTTGTTCAAGGGTTGTCACATCTTTGGACAAATGAAAAAATTTTTCTCTTACAGATACATAAATCGTAAGTCATGACAGATTTATTTATTTTTTAATGCAACAGGCAGACCAGGCTGAATATTGAGCATCTTAAAAACTTCATTCTAAAACTCTTTATTCCTGGGAAATTATACATCACCAGCGTTCATGGTCTGATTGAGGCTACAAAAGGTGTGCAATGTATGAAAACATAGAAATTTAATGGGAAAAACTGGTAGATGTCCCTGTTCACCTGAAATACAGATAAAAATGATCCACAAGTGCATGTTGGCTCCAGTGCCAACTGCTCATCTCCAAGACAGGAGCATGGTAACACCTGGCCATCACCACCTAGAGGTTGGGCTTGACCAGCAGTGCCAAGAAGCAATTCCATGTGGCTTGAACCACTGTCACACCACAGGGCTGCCATGCTCTGTGCAAGAGCTCAGCCAGCTGCTGGGGCACAGTAGTGCTGCTGGGCTGCACCGGTGAAGCTGGAGATGGGTTCAGGGAACTTGAGACTTGGAGGCTCAACCTGCCAACACCAAGTGCCGCAACTGCTGCTGACCTTCCCCCTCGGCCCATGGAGCAGGGTTGGGACACACGGTAGCAAGCACCAACACAAACCTCTGTGTGCAGTACCCTGAACACAGAAACGTGGGACTGACATCTTCCCAAATGCAGAAGCAGTTCCCAAACACACATGCTGCTCCTCTCTGCCTGGTTCTCCAACAAGCTCTTATTCATCCGTTCTCCTATAAATCACGTTGTTCAATGCCTCAGCAGAAAACAGCTCTGTGGGAACCCAGAGAGCCTGGGGTGACGGAACCCACTCACGGACTGGGTTACACATCAGTGAAGGAAATGTGTCCTTGGAAAAAGTCCCTTCCTGAGACACTGTCACCCTACTACTCAGGTGAAAACAGCTGCAATACCACAGACAGTAAAGCTTCAATCCAGAAGGACATGTGTATTTGTACATCACACCATGTTTTCACTACCTTTTCTTTTTTCTTTTTTTTTTCTTTAAATTTTTAATCCTTTAGTAAATACCTTGGTGTGAATCGCCACCAGGTCAAATGCTCTGCCTTGGCAACCCAGAGACACTGAGGAAGCCCCAGCAGTGCTGCAAATCTCCTCCCTCCACACCTGCCAGAAAACAACCGGAGGGAAAAAAATCTTCCTGTGCTCTCCATGCCTTTCAGGCAGGGGAAGCAGGGAAAGGCCTAAGGGCAGAGTCACTGATAAAAGCCACTCTGGAGGACTTCTGACCCCATCCAGCTATCCGGCTCCTCCCCTCAGCACTCCCTGTGCTCCTCAGCGTCCAGCATCTGACACAGATTAAACACAGCTCTCTGCTCTCCAGCGACAGTGCCATGCTGGGAGTGCTCCAGTTCCACAGCTGGGGGACTTTACAACACGGAGCTACGGCCAGACAGGCAGCAGCTTCCCTACACCCCAATAAAGCAACGGGAACGCCTCTGCTAACACCACATGGCCACTTCGGGAAAAGTAAGGACAATGCCTTTTCCATCTTCCTTTCCAAGCTGCCCTGCTCTTGGGGAAATACTCTGCAAATGGCTCAGCCTGTGCACTGCTACTGCATGCCCTCTCTCCTCCCACCTTACTCCCCCAGCTCTTCCAAACCCCTTTGAATTACATGAGCTTCTGCTTTCCTACAACTGCACCTGTCAGTACCTGCATTAGGTAGTGCCTTCCTCCTCTGTCCCACCCACCAGCTCAGGAAGGAGATACTGAATTGTACTGCTCTGAAAAACACCCTCCTGCTCAATCCCACTCTCTGCTCCTGCTTTGGCAGGAAATGTAGCTCTTCCATCTTGCAGCCACTCATCTCCTGCATTCAGCCTTGTCCATGGCGATACTTTTTTCAAGCTTCAAGCTCCATTTTGCTGATGTCAGAGCAGTTTTGGGTTGATCGGTGCAGGATTTGTGTGATGTCACACACAAAGCATCGCTTTGGTAAGGCAAGCAATTATCCAATTGCCAGCCAGACATGGACCGTTTCCTAATCCCTCTTAGTTACCTTCAGCCCACTGAAACTCTAAGTACTGTTCTTCTTGCCTGAAGCTGCAGAAGCGCTTGTGTTGCTGTCACACCTGTCTAGTACACCAGAGTCTTTTCCCTTCAGGGATCTTCTCCATGTCGCCTACCAAAAGCCAGTTTGGAACTCACTTGGTGTTTACATGGCAAACATGAGAGGGGCCAGAGCTATCCTCAGCTTCTCCTTAGCTCAGACCAGTCCAAGGCTAGGCAGATATCAGCACTCAGTGCTGTTGGAAGGGCCCACAGCCTCTCTTGTGCCACAGCAGCTCAGCCCTGCTGCCCTGCTGTCATCCACAGAGCCCTGTCCTGCAGACACAAGGCAGGTGGATTCTTTTCAGTTTCCAGGGAAAACACAACCCTTACTCTCTCTGGACTGGTCACTTTGTCTTTGCATTTCACTCTTCACACTATGCCAGTGTTTACTGAACATCACTTGGTTTCATGGACAGCTGAGCACTCACGTGTTGCTGCTCTCCCACCACATCCCACTCACCCAGCAAGATCCCCAGGAAACAGCACAGGACAGTTGTGTAGCTCCATGAGTGCATTGCAGTGTGCAGAGACACGTGTTGGGCAGCTGTAGGTTTGGTGATTGTAGGACAACCATCCCCAGCCGTTTCCCAAAGGTGAACATTCCCATGCAGCGTAATCCTCTTGGTTGCTTCCAGGTTATCAGATGCAGAGCTGCTGTTGCCTGGGCCGTGGGCAAAGAACTCTCTGTCGAGGAGGTGGAGGTTGCGCCTCCAAAGGCAGGTGAAGTCCGGATCAAGGTAAAAAGACATTTCAATAATTTTTTCTCCCTTGCAGGAACTGCACTTCTTGTGGCTATAATTTGGATATAACCAAATGATAGCCACAAGAATATAACCCATGTAATACGGCCTGGGGTCTGCCCATAGGCCTTAACTGTCCAGAGAAGTCCTGTGGAAAATCATTCCACAAATTCAGTTAAACAAAGGCTGGGCTATTTCTGAAGTTCATCATCTACTCTTTCCCCTCCAAACAGATTGTGGCCACTGGCATCTGTCACACAGATGAACACGTTTTGAAAGGTTGCTTTCCTAATGTGGAATTCCCAGTTATCCTAGGCCATGAAGGAGCTGGGATTGTGGAAAGTGTTGGAGAAGGAGTGACCTCTGTGAAACCAGGTAATCAATGCACACACAAACACATGTGCATAAGTCAGCCCTCAAAGTGGATGAAGCTGCCAACAGGTCAGAAACTTCTCCCCGTTCCTGAGTCAGTGGCTCAACATCCGAGTGCACATTCGTTGCACTGGACTGTCACATACACTTTCCTGGTCTGTTCCTCATGTACATGAGTGGGGCTTAGAGCATTTCATCCTGACAGAGGAAGGCACGGGTTTGTGGTGGGTTCCTGCAATTGGAAAGCTCAGCAGAGGTGCTCCAGCACCCTCAGGGCCTGCTTAGCAAGAGGTACCAAGAAGGGATCCACTTTGTTGCAGGAGACAAAGTCATTCCCCTTTGCCTCCCTCAGTGTGGGGAATGCAGCTTCTGCCTGAATCCTGAATCGAATTACTGCCTGAAATGCCAGTGAGTTTGCTTCACCATCCCCTACACCTACATGGGGTTGGCTGTCTGACAACAAGTCTGACACCCCCCCATCAGTGCTTTAGTCAATGAAATAGAAATGATTGCTCCTCTCCACAGTCTCTCTGAACCACAAAACCTGATGCCTGACAAGACCACCCGGTTCACTTGCAAAGGGAAGCAGATCCACCACTACATGTGGGTCAGCACCTTTGCAGAATACACCGTAGTCCCAGAGTACGCCGTTGCCAAGATAGATCCTGCAGCACCTCTGGACAAAGTCTGCTTGCTCGGCTGTGGGTTTTCCACAGGCTATGGGGCTGCCATCAACACCGCCAAGGTTGGTGTTCAGGCATGTCGAGCACCCCAAGGCTGCCCTCACACCCTCACCAACCCCTCTCCTCCTCCTCCTCACGCTGGAGACTCACAGGGCCCTGTGCTGTGCAGGTAAAGCCAGGCTCCACCTGTGCCATCTTCGGCCTCGGAGGAGTTGGCCTCTCTGTTGTCATGGGCTGCAAGGCAGCTGGAGCTTCCCGCATCATTGCCGTGGATATCAACAAGGACAAGTTTGCCAAGGCCAAGCAGCTGGGAGCCACCGACTGCATCAACCCTCGAGACTGCCAGAAGCCCATCCAGGAGGTGCTCACTGAGATGACAGGACAGGGTGTGGACTACTCCTTTGAGGCCGTTGGCCTCAAAGAAACCATGGTAGGTGGCATTTTGGCATTTTGGTGTCTTCCCTCCCAGATCATTCACAGGCTGCCATCAGGGAAAAATTCACGCAGGTGGGAAATTCCTTGCCT